CATCTGGCTGATTGTGTGAACAACAACAATAATAATACTGGAAATTGTGCTCAATCTATTTGGGTGCTGTTTGTATTTCTGAGATATAATATATATTCCAGGTTCTTGTGGTCTGTCTGAACTTTGATGAGAGCTGAAGCTTTGTCCAAAAGATGGCACCAGTTTTGAAAAGCATTATTGATTGTGAAAGTACCTTACTTAAAACTTCATAGTTCCTTCCTGCTAGCAGTATCTGTCTAGAATAAAGGTGCAAGGGAAAAGTTTGTGTCCAAAATCCTCAGCAGTCTGGGGAATGGTTGTACTTAAAGTAAAATCAGAAGCATTCATTTGAACAAAAGGGCCAGCAAGATCTGGATGGCCGAAGAGAAGCTGGGAGGCAAAAGCTTATTTGAATAATAGAAACACCTATCGTACATCAGAATCCTATTGAAAAGGGACCCTTTCTTAGTAAGCTATACTTACTAATGTACTCATGCACAAGGTGCAAAATGAGAGATAAAGTGATGATAAAAGTTTAAAAAATCTTCCCATACGCTGCTCCTTCACTTTCCACGGACCAACCAAGAGAAGCATAGAGACCACTTTACAGAGTCCTCAGAAAATATATGGAATTCTAAATAATTCAAGTCAGGACAAAGACACAGTTCTCTAGCTTAGCATACATGAAGTGTTGGCAGAGCCAGTCCAGCAAAGCTTAGATATGCTCAGTTTGGGTACCTGGATCTTCAGAAAATTAACAGGTCATCCAAATACTGTAGCAGATAAGAGTTCAATATGTGAAAAATGTGGTCCATAAGCCTTATAAAGATTGAGGAAACATTCACTAAACCATAGAGCATGACTGTGCATTCCAGTATTCCATAGCACATGTCAAAGGCAGTTAAGTATTCATGAAAATCAGACTGTAGGACCCCCCTGAGATCTAACCAGGTAAAAACACAGACCTTCTGTAGCCTTTCTAAAATTTTGGAAATCAGAGAAATGGGGGAGCGATTCCTAATGGTTGCAAAATTCCAAAGGTGAAAATTGTGAAACATCCTCAAGCAATTTGCAAAACACACACACACACACACACACACACACACGTGGCAATCCTGGCTAGGGATGCAGAGTGGTAAAAGGACCCCTTTTGCAAGTTATTGTCAAGAAACTCCTTTAGCTAGGCTAGTTCTTTTGAGGACATGGAATATTGGCCTTTTGCAGGGATTTATAACATTATCACAGGAATGGGAGGGAGGAGAATTTATCCTTCGTCTTTCTCCCAAAGATCAGCATAATCAAAGTATTTAGAAGGTAAAAGAGGGGAAATGTTCTGCTGATTTATGAGGAGAGGGGAAGGTTTCAGACTCCGCAAGCTGAGTTTGACATTTCTGAGAGTCAAATATAATATCTTCTTGGTTCTAGTGGATATGTGGGTTGTACATCTGAAGCCAATGAATCCATAATACTGTTGGAATATGTAGAAAAGTTAGGCTGTAAGGACGCCTGATGGTCAGAAATGGTGAGGTGAAGATGGACTATACATTCAGAAATCAGCCCAGAGTACAAATGTCTGCCATTATTAGTTTCCACCCTCATTGGTGGGTCTACTGCCTGAACGGGCAAAAAATATTTGCATGCAATTACTCTATCAAACTGCCCTTGACTCCAAAATCTATCAGAGCTAGAAGGTTAATTACAGAGTCAGTTTGGGTATCAATAGTAGTAGGCAAGATCATGGGTCCAGGATGAGTGCTGTATGTCTGAGCTTCACTTAATTGCCAGACTGCCTCCTTATCAAGCTCCTGGAGGAGAGGGCTGAGTCATTTCCCAACAAGCCAGGCTTGGAGTGTCTGGGCATTGGCTTGCAAAATACTCTTCCAATCCACATGCACAGCACTTCACAGAGTGGGAAAATTTAACAGGGCAAACTTTTGCAAAACGGCCAGAAATTCCACTCTATAAATAAGGACCCTGTGTATGCTGGCACTGCTGGCTGTCAGCTGCATGGGTTTGACATCCAAGGATTCTGACAAGTAGATGGAGGAGGAGGGTGGGACAATGAGAGACAGTAGCGCTACCTCTTTTCCCCATCCACAGTGTGTCACAATACTTTGAGCCTTCCCTTAGTGAGCTGGATTAACGATTCCAAATTGTTTGGGATGCCTCGTTCATCAGACATGCCCTCTTTACACTGGTCAGTCAGAGTTAGCCCATTCTGGCCCTTATCTTCAGCAAAAGGCTGAAAGTTTGCCTGTACTTGACATTTACATTGTTGCAAACATCAGATCTCATGGTTGGCTGCTGCCTGTTTGGTGAATCATCAAAGGCAGCTCTCAGTTTGGTCATGAAATTAATATAAATGTCTCCATTAGAGCTTTGGCCTCCAAGAGAGGGATTGCCCATTTTGCAGCTGTTCCAGTCAAAAGACCATAAATCCTGCTTGGGAGCAGTCTGTGGGAAATTCTCCCACTCTCAAGGAGATGAACGCTTCCCGCTGAGTGATGAAACTCTTGGAACCTCCATCATACTAGGCTGGAAGCAAGCGCAACCAGGCATTCAAGGGCTCTGATAATATATTTATTCTATATTAACCCCCTCTCCCCCAACTCTAATGAAGCTGTTAGGAAAGAATTCCAGCAAAGCTGTATATCAAATGCTAGCCCTATTTATAGTGAAGTTAAAGCTTAAATTCTTGTGCCTTTTTCTTCTGCCTGTTGGGATGGAATGGGCTGGAGGTCACTCTTTTTGAGGCAGGAAGGACAGTTTCCATCTATCTGTTTCTGGTCTTGGGAGAACTGGCATTCAACAAAGGTCTCTAATGGATTTTCCCTATAAGTTAACAGTGTGCGAAATCAGAATGTCATGGGGTATTTTGTAAACGCTTTGCTGAAATCAAGATAGTAAGAGACATTCTATGTTGTGACTGAAACCCACTGCCAGTTGCTTGTCTGAACTTTGCTTGTTCCATCACAGCACAGACATTTTTTTCCCAAGCCACTGGGTTCTATCTAAAGAAGTAATTTGTTTTTGTTTTAAAAAGCCACCCTTAATTATCTGAATGGAAGTTGGTGTGTAAATGTTTAAATACACTTTCAAAAAGACAGGCCACGTTTTGGGCCATATTCTTTGGAAGGAAACCCCTCTGAATTGCTGGAAAATCAAGTTCAAACACACAAACTCTATTCAAGAATCGCCTACCTCCTTTTACGTACTGAATAAATTGCCATTTCATTAAGGATTCAGATATATAGAGGACATTGCTAAGCTAGGGGGCAAGATTCAGTTTAGGCCTTTTGTTGGCCCTTGGAGTCCAACAAAGAATCCAGCCTAGGAAAGAACTGTGTCCTGAAGAAAGGTGTGTCCTTCAACTAGGCCTATCTCAATATGCAGTGTAGCAAGCCAGACCTCACCTGATCTGCCTTAAGGATGCCTTCATCCCAAAACTCAGGCCTGGCCTCACCAGGCTTTTGCTTTAAGAACTGTGCCTCACCAGACAGAAAGCAGTCAGTGTCCCCCACAGATTGTACTGGCCAATAGCAAATAGCATTATACTTGTTGTTCATACCTCTAACATAAAGACATAAGGTGCAAGCAAAACTACCGTAGAAAAAGAGATCCTAAGCACATATTTACCACAAAGTAGGCATATATCGGACTAATCTTTCAAGTAGGTGTAGAAGCTCACACACCTTGTCTTCAAAAGGGGGAAAAAAAGAGTTCTGCTCCATTGTGTAATCATTCCATTTTCTTGAGTTATAGATGCTCAAATACCTCCACAAATTGGTGCTGGTCAGCTCACTTCTGGCCAGAGGGGACAGCTCACTCCAACAATTCTTCCACAAAAGATCCTCCACCATACAGCAAATTTATTAGGGAGAAGACTAGCTAGAACGTTCACCGTAAGTGTTCTTCATATGTAGAATTATGTTTTTTACAGTGAAACTCTTAATGGATGCATTGTAGAAGATGGGTTAGAAAACACAGGAGTTACAATGGGAACAATAACTTCCGAACTGTTATGTAATTCTTTGAATGAAGCAAGGGAATTGCATAATAAAATTATCAGCAAACCCTGCATTCCTCAAATTAGTTCCTAATACCGAACAACATATCCCTTGTCTGTGAAAGAAAAAATCTTATTGCGGGCGTTCAGAAAGAGGCATATTGCTCCAGGGCTGAAAAAGAGAGGGGAGAAAGAAAAGAAAGGAACTTACAGCTTTGGGCTTGAAAGGAGGCTGAATTTCTTTCCGCTCAAGTTTGTCCCAGTCAATATATCGGAAAAAGGCGTGCTCTTTGATATCCCGTTCTCCTTCTGGGCCGCACCCCAACCGTTTAGCTGGATGCTTGGTCATGAGCTTGAAAAAAGGAAAAGAAAATGCTTCACCTTTCTCTTAGACACAAAGCTATCAGAACGAGGGCTCCATGTTAGAAACTATCATCCTCAAGCCCTAAATCATTTATTTTCCACAATGTAATCCTGCTATCTAACCATAACTTAAAACTGGCACAACCAAAGGTTCTAGGCTCCAAAGACTCAGCAAAATATTAGTGTTTTAATGGCCTCCTCGAAGCATTTCAAGGTGGGGCAGCCCAACTTCAAGGGAAGTGTGTTCCATAGATGGAGCAGTCACCAGTAAGACCTGACCCCAGGCTCCTACCTCTCTCATCTCTCAGAGGGAGCTCAAACAGCTTCTCTTGGACAGACTGCACAGGATGGCAAATTCAGCTCAAAAGAGATGGTTAATCAGACAGTCAAAGTCAGCACTTTCAACTGTACGCTGAAACCTACTAATACAGGTAGTCCTCGGGTTACAACAGTAATTGGGACTGGAATTTCTGTCGCTAAGCAATGTGGTTGCAAAGTGAGACATCACGTGACCGAATCACTTAGCAATGGAAATCCTGGCAGTCCCCATTGTTATTGTTAACTGAATCATTAGGCAAGGACCCAGCCTGAGCCAAGCCATTTCCGGCTTGGTCCCTCCCAGCCTTGAACCTCAGTAAGGTAAGGGGCTGCCTCCTCTTGAACTCTCCCCACCTGCCTATCTCTTCCCCTCATCTCTGCCCTTTTGGCTGCCCTGCACAGCGGCACTCCTCCTTCAGAAGGCCTCAGAAGCATTGTGAGAAGCCTTGTGAGAAGGCCACGTGCAATTTGAAGAAGTGTGCACGTGGCCTTGGGAAGAAGGCGTGGCACAGCCTGCAGCTGCCTTGCATAGGACCAGGTCAGGCGCATGTCATCAGCAGCAGGAGGAAGAAGACGGTGAAGGTCAGCTGGGGGCCATCACTGCTGAGGAGTGCCACTGTGCAGGGTGGCCAAAAAGGCAGAGATGGGTGGGAGATAGGCGGGTGGGGGAGTTGAAGCACCTTTGCAGTCATAAGTGCAGGTGGGCTGCCAAGCACCCGAATTGATCATGTGACCGTAGGGACACTGCAATGGGCATAACTTTGGGGACCAGGCATAAGTACCATTCTGTGATGGAATGTGAGGGTGGCCTTGGAAGGCGGGGGGTGGGGAGAAGAAATGCCACCTGGGGAGTGAACAGATAAAAGAGAAAGGAGTCTATAACAGGGTAATGGTCAAAGAAAGAAACTTAGGAAAGACCTGCCCTAACTACTCAGGCGTTAAATAGGGAAAGCGGGAGATTTGTGCTTTCAGAGTTGCAAGATTCTGTTAATGTAGCTTTACAGTAAAGTAGAATTCGCTCATCTGGTCTTGTTTCCTGTCTGGTTTACCTGGGAGGGCTGACATCAACCTTGCCCTGTCCTTGGTTCTAGGATGGCACCAACTACTGAGCGTGAGGTCATAGGGCTCAATCATGTTCACTCTTCACCCGGAAACCACCGGTGCTCTAGGTGTTGCTTTAGCTGCTTCATCTCAGTAAATCAGGAAACCCCCAAGACTGGTACACAGAGAACAATCTTATCCTCACCACCTTGGAGTTCCAGAGCTCAACCAGGCATGTGGGAGGAACTGCCAGACATCTAGCAAACAGCCCAGTGCTAGACCAGATGCTGCAAAGTTAAATGAGATGTCCAACGAAAACTGCCTTGACTGAAATTTCAAGAAGCTGCCCATAATCTTAAATTTAAAATCCCATAACTGCTATTTTACTGCTGTAAACTTGGCACTGGAAGGGCTGCTGCCCCATGGCCCCCTACTACTTATCCTTTGCATGCATGGAAAACACTTGCTTTCAGAAGATCCTACACAAACCCTGGTGGCATTCCAAGAGGGGGATTGTTGAAAGGGAGATTGCACGCACACTATATTGAAGGAGAAGATAAACACACAGAGGCTGTGTTTGTCCAACACTCTAGAGAAAGCTAAAGTGGGGCTGAGTAATTCACTGTGTAATACATTTTAGCATGTGATGTGAACCAAGGCACACTAATGGTTTACTTGTTTAGGCAAAGCTGGTCAAGTGAACACAGCAATTTTGTTTACCAAGGTTTGAGCTCTAGTACTTTTGATGGGCGGGTGGGGGTGGGGGGAAGGGTCTCTGCATCCTCAAAGGAACCCTGTCTGAGAAGATCCCCATCCTTAGTAGAGGGCCTGCCTTCCCATGTGACAGATAAGAAGCAGAGTGTTACTGCAGAGGAAATCTCTACAAGTCTACAATATCAAAGCAATTAAGTGCAAATGCTGCCACACCATTCAAAGAATAATAATCTGCTTTTGGAACCTCTTTTTCATTAGTACCAAAAACATGAAGGAATTGGCAGCATCCGGCCCTGAAGGCTTTGGCTTAATGAAGCAGCCGGTTCTCAGGGAAAGCAGAGAGTGCACGATGGCTGCTTATCTTCCCTGAGTCTCCTCCCGCCAAACCTTCTCTGGCAAGCAGGAGACAACGCAGCGAACCTCGGGCGGCAGCAGAAATGTTAATATCCTGGCAGCGGTATTTGGTTTCCTTCCTTTCTGAGATGGAAGACAGATGGTGGATTCAGAAGCTAGATAAGCCATGGAGGAACTATGAAAGAGGGTGCTAAGAAAGCATGGCCAGCCTTCTGTTTAGGTCTGTCACAAGGAGCAACGGTACACAGGAGGAGGGGAGGGCTAGTCGTTCGAATGCGGCTTCTGCCATGGCCAGAAAAGCTAGTGCTTTACAGAGGAAGGCATGCAAAACGAGGAGCCTGTTTGCCACTGCAAGCCGCTTAACACATAGTTCTCAGCAGAGAGACAGGTTTTCGCAAAGGCTGTACCCCAGCCATGGAGGGTTGAGGAAGAAGCCAACGGCCTCAGAGTGAAGGGGAAGCCTGCTGTGCATCCGAAGGGGTTGCAAAAGCATCTGTTGACACCCGATCCAGGACCCCTAGCATCCTTTCCTCCTCTGTCTCTTTAAAGGCAGCCTCGTGGCTGAGGGGAAGGAGCCTTGTGAAGGTAGAGGCAATAAAACTAATCGGTAAGTAGAGCTTTGCACAACTCCAGGTTCTGCCTGGCAGAAGCAGGGTATATGCTATGAGGCTCAGATGAAATTAGGATGTGCAAATTACAGCCCTTGGAAAGTCTACACACCCTACTCATTAAATTATTCCCATAAAGCAGAATGAAGCAGTCAAGCAGACTGTGGTATCTGACTGCAGGGAAGATAAGGAAAAAGGCAGGATTCCTAGCCTCATCCGGAGAGGGCTGGGCCAGAAATGCTGACTTTTTCATGCTGGGGAGGACTGAGAAATGGTTCCATCTCTGAAGAGGTGTTCTGTACTATTCCCCATCCCCACCCCACTTCTGCTATGTCCCTTGTCACAGAATTAGCCATTTCATACAGCGCCAGTGAGGCTCCCACTCTTGGTATCACTTTATACGACGCAGAAGAAGCCTGCTGGCAGAAGTTAGCATGGTAGAATTAAAGTTGTGCCATATGTGATGGAGGCGGAATGGCAAGTGGTTCCCACTCCTGTCTCTTTATTTCCAAGTGCAGGGCTGCCTCTGCCTCCTCCTCCTCCTCCTCCTCCTCCAGGAGAGAGAGACATGGGTTCAGGAGGCAAGACTTCTGCCTGCCAGCCCTGCTTTGCTGAACTTCTCGGACTGCTCCAAGTGGAGCAGAATGAAGCTGTGTTTGTGTTTCCAGCAAAAGGAAATTCTCGCATTGAAATACTTGCGGGGGCAGGGTTTTTGCCAGGCTCAGCACACCCCAGATGGTTTAGGCTGGTCTTGCCACAGTTAAGCAGAACTATTTCCAGCCAGCTGAGACTCTGCCCATGGAGAAACAAGCCATGCTGTTGGCTTCATTTGGGAACATGGGCTGGCCAGCCAGATACATGGCCGCTCAATTGGCCACAGCAGAGCCTGCCAGAGAAAGGGACCTGTTTCGTTTTCCAGGGACCAGCAAACTGACAGCTGCACTGAGAACGTGAGCAATTTCTTGCCTCGAACTTGGTGCGGGGTGGAGGGGGGTGAAGGCTCTGGATGCTGCCAGCCGGTTCACCTGGAAACAGAGTTGTTCCGAGCTCCTTTGAAAATCCCCACACAGAGGTGAAAGCAAGTGCTCCTGTTTACGTGGTGACATGCCAGGGGCTCCAGAGCAGATGGAAAGAGACTCCAGAGATCATGGTGAAAGCTGTTGTTCTACAAAGCATCACTCTCTCAGTGAAAACACGGTGCACATCTCTTTCACAGCCAACTCCATGTACTACCAAAGGGGGAGGGTGGGAGCTGTTTGCACAAAGCTTGCTACTCAAACTAGTACAGTGACGTCTGTGAAAAGGAACCTCACAGTTGGGTGACAGGACTGCTTCCTTCATTGCCAGCTCTCAGGTGATTTCTCCTGGGTTCATGGGGTTTTGGAGTTGGGAGAGACCTTGGTGGTCACCTAATATTGGGTCACCTACCATTGTGTCCTGCTCAATCTGCAGTGCAGGAGGTGCTCAAGAACCACAGGAATGAGACCTGAAGTCCCAGATCAGGGTTGGCCCCATCTCAGTTCCCCAGTGCCTATCTTCTTAACTTCTGCCAGCACCCTGAGGAGATTCCTTTGGTCCTGGTAGCTCAACATGCCCTACAAGATCTCAGAAGCTGCAACGGCTGATCGGGGCCAGTTGTTTCCCTTGCTCAGAAGCAAGTGAGCAGTGGCCATGCATTCTAGCTTGAAAAGTCCTCCCTCTGGTGGGGGCTAGAACCAGCTGAGCCTCAGGGTGTGCACCCAAGTTTTCTTTCTCCTCTCCTGCTCTGGCTCCACGTTCAGCAGCTGGAAGCCATCTCCTTCTCCTGGGGAGCTGCCGCTGTCCAGGAGGATGCCTTGGCCTCTTGTAACCAAAGTTGTGACTCCTCTGCAAACTGACTTTGATACTTTTGGGCCAAACAGATCTCTCTCCAAGAAGCAGCTGCAGAATAAACCCAGCTGCTTTTCCAAGAGGCCAGCCTCCTTTTTGCCTGCTGGCTGGGGAGGCTCTCCAGGCCTGGCACCAAAAAGGTGTGTTAATAGGAAGAATTCCTCCCCCTTCTGTTGCTGGAGTACACCTGCAGCGGACACTGTTCCTAACATTGCAGCCAGAGCTGCCAGGAGCAAGGAGATGGCACGGCACCGCTAGTTTTGGGGGGCGGGCGTGGGTGGTATACTCAAGTTCACACTGCATGATTTTTGATGCGTACTCGAATGTAGCATTATGTAAGTGTGTGTCATATCTTCCTCCAGCCCAAAATAAAGGCAGCAGTGCGACAGGAAAGGGAGGGTGTCCACAGCTTGCCCCCCACCCCTTGCCTGCTTCGGTTGCTTTCCATTCAGCCTTGGCATTTGCCAGAAGTGTGAAAAGCCATTACTGAAAATCCAGCAGATGTTTTAATCAGTCTTATCTCTTGCCAATTTGCAGCCTTCCGCTTGGGAAAGGAAATAAAACTGGCAGGAAGTTCATCACGGTTATCTCTCAATCACTCCCCCAGGAGTCCCAGGGAATGGTTACAGCTGCAGCCCTGCAGAGGTCAGCCCTCAGTCCTGCCCCGCCAGCCGCCTCACGGCCTCCCCTCTTGGACTCGCTGACTTCAGAGTCTGTGTGGGCACCGCTGGTGCTGGGGGAGGGAGCAGCCCCCCACCCGAACGATGCCCTTAGCCCTGCCGGGCTCTTCAGCCCAAAGCAAGAGAAGCAGCGGGGAGCAGGGGGTGGGGAGGGGGTGTCCCACTCTTAGAAGCCCGGCACATTCTTTCCAAGGGAGCCGCCGCTAAACAGGCAAGTGCTGGGCAGGGAGACCTGGAGAGCAGGGCATTGTTCCATTCTACTCTGCCTTGGCCAGGCCCCAAGTTCCAGGGCCAGAGCCTAAAAAGCACCAGAGCAAACTGGGGTGAGTTCAGAGGAGGGCCGAGTGAGATAGCTAAAGGATGGGGGGAGATTCAGCCTACAGAGAGAAAGTGGGGAAGATAGGCTATCCATCTTCTGAGGTCTAAAGGGTTGTCCTGTGGAGGAGGGCAGGACCAGAACCAATGGGAAGCAGATGCAGATTAGGTATCAGGAGGAATTTCCTAATGGTAAGGGTCATCAGCCAGATGGCCTCATTCAATGCTATGTTCACCCTCGCCAGAGGTCTTCAAACAGAGCCGGATAGCCCTCTGTCTGAAATACTTTAGCAGATCCTTCCCTGAGAAGGGGGATGACCTCTGAGATCTCTTGCCACTCTATGATTCAATGACTTCTGAAAGTAGCTTTGGCACAGAATATTTGCTTCCCATCGTGAAAAGCAAAACACACATCTTCATCTATCTGTCACTGCTGGTTTTGCATGGCCTTGGAGCATCAGTGTCCGAGGTGATTTGGCAACAAAACTTCCCATGGGAAACCTCAAGGTGTAGAACTCAAGGAAAGCCCTGCCAGACTTCTGCTGGATGGTGAACTGGACAAAGTTCTCCCCCAAGGCCCTGGGAAAGGGAAGGATGGCTGCAGGGGCAGAACGCGTCATTCTAGTCCTTCCGCAGGCTTTGTCCGAGCAGAGCAGGAGCAAAGGGCCCTACGCAGAAGCAACAGCCATAAGCTGAAATCTCTGAGTGGCTCCCCAAGGCCCCCTGTGTGTGGGCCCCCAGAGGAGCCCCAGGGGGGTCCAGGGAGTTATGGGCTCTGCTTGGCAGGTGGGTTTCCCAGGGGCCAAGACTGGAGTGCTGATGAGTGATGGCAGTGAGGAAAAGGAGAAGGGTGGCCACCTGGAGCAAGGGCCAACCACGCAGGGATTCCCTGCCTTGCTTTTAGGAAAGAGGGCGAGAGCAAAGCAGACTCATGCTACTGCTGCAGCGGCCAGGGAAGCCAAAGTGGAAAGACACGAATGCACCTGAGGGGAGAAAAAGGTGGCATGAGGACTTTCTGAGAAGATCAACTGCCAGCAACCCACAAGTGGCCTCCCAGCCCTCTCAAAAAACCAGGCACTGCTGAATGGCTTTTTCCTGCCACACCAGCCCCCTGATCCAGCCTGGATGCCATTACACTTCGGAAGTGCCACAAATGAGCTGCACCTCTTCTGCAAACCTCAGCAACGATCAAGAGCTTTGCACAAGTCAAAGGACACGTTTGTTTTTAAAATGCACCCTCCCCAAAGTTTCCATTCCTGAGGCTGCACAGATTGACCTGTGGGGACGGGTGAGCGCTGGGCAGGATTCCTAACCGTCAGGGAGCTGAGTCTTAGGACTTCCTCTCATCCCTCCAACTCTGAGCAGAAAGAGAAAGACGCATGTGCAGGTGGAGGGCAGAAGGGAGATGCGCGGCTGTATTAAAAATAAATCCCAAGCCTGTCACAATGTTTGGATTTCAGTTACTGAGGTTATTTCAGGATTAGTTAGCCTTTACATTGTCATTGCTCAATGGGTCAAAGGACTTTGGAGCCACTAACCTAGCAAGATCCCCCATTTCTTTTGCTGAGAGCAAGAGGAAAAAAAAGTTTGGTTTCAGCTTTAGCAGTTCCCTTCCAGCGTCTATTCTGCCCTTCTCCTTATCATTCTGGTAACTACTGAGTGAGACATTTTATGGAAAATCCTAATTGATCTGCTCTATCAAATCTAAGGGGGGAGAAGAATACTTTTCATTCTGTACTGGAATTTCCACTATAACAGCCCACCGCTGGGAAGACATTTGTTTTCTATACTGTACTACAAGCTCAACCAAAGAAATGCTATGAGGCCTCCGACCCAGCCATAAATCCAACCTGAAGCAACATAAATTACTTCTGAGGCCCATCAACCTTGCATGGGAGACCTTCTTGCCATGCAAGGGTTTCGTTTGCAACAGGATGCAAAAGAATAGAGCAGACAAACTGCAGTCAAAGTATCAGAACACTTGGCCTACGGAGCAGCTCCAGGCGACCCATGGCTGTCGCAACAAGCCAGAATCCTCCTGATCTGGGAGGGAGATGAGAGAGCCAGAGAGCCAATCTAATGCCACCCACAGAGGTGCTCAGTGGGAAATACAGTGCCGGGAACCTCCCGTGTCACACCTGCTTGCTGCCTGTCCACAACTCAGCACCTCTCATACTGTGAGTGTGGAGAGAGACGTGCACCCTCCCCCACAACCCCTCCCACAGCCAGGGTAGCTCCAAGGCACCACTCACCCCTTTGCAGATTGCCACCGCTTCTTTGCTCATGGATTTGGGATAGGCCACATTGTGCTCCATGATTGACTGGAAGAGCTCGTCTTCATCTTCTCCTTCAAAAGGGGCCTGCATAATTGGGGAGCAGAAGAGGAAAGGGTTTCAGAGGCACCCAATCTTTTCTCTAGGGAACTCTGGGGATGCTTCACCACAAAGGCACATCCCACCACACAATGCTGATTTACCTGCCCTGCCAACATCTCATACAGCAAGACGCCAAAGGCCCACCAGTCCACAGATTTCCCATAGGGTTGATAGGCAATTATCTGCAAGACAACAGAAACCACATCACCATTGCAGGATTAAGTCCATATCCCCCTTGGTCCCAGAGCCATGTGGCAGTAGTATTCTGATGGGAAATGTGGTAGGAGGGGAACTGTGTTTGTTTGTGATGGCAAAATATCAGCAGGACCTTTTCTGATTAACACATTTTATTAAAAGGCAGAAAGTTTCATGAGCTGCACTCCCTTCATCAGATGCAGACAGCAGTTACAAGAAAGGCAAAGGAAGGTTGGCTGCTTAGCTCTCAGGAGTCTTGTGCCACAGGAGCAGATCCTCAACAAAGAAGGGAACACAAGCTTCTGAAATGGCAAGTTGTCTTTCCACTGAGCATGACCCACCAGCACCTGCTCCCTTATCCCACTGTTTGCAGTTCTTATGCTACATATTTGTAGAATATTTATTATCTGACTTTTACAGCAAATACCCACAGAAGGGAGTTTCCATGGAAATATAATGACACATCCAGATAAAAGAATTCCACAAAAACAACAGGAGATAGCTATATAAATTTAACCAAATCTATGCCTAACTTCCTTAGAGCTCAATATCATTTAAGATGATGAAAACATAATTAGGCCAGCCTCCATGCCTGCCTTAAGAGAGGCCAAGTGTCCCCATCCAGGAGGAGTCAGAGGTCACCACTGAAAAGGTCTCCTTGGAAAAAGACAGGCCGATCTCACTATATGGACAGGCTGCAATGGATGAAGACAACCTATCATATCAGTTGATCCTACAACTACAATAGGGCTTTATTGAAACTTAACTGGACCAAAACATAACAGCAACAAATACAAATCATAAAAGTTGGTGGTATCTCTCTGTGGGGTGTGAAGCAGTGAATTCTCTTCATGAATGCTTGAATTTTGCACACCTTTACAGTGATTTAAGTGTGAAGTTACCAATGTACATATAAATAGGAGCTAGGTTGTCCCTGCCCAGGAAATAGCACAGCTGGTGTAGTAGCTGAAGCTAGTAATAAGTGTTCCTGGTACAAGGTCACTTGGTCCTCCAATGACAGCAATAACTTTAGGACCACCATCAATCTACTTCTTTATTCTTTCTAAGGAAGAATACCCATGGAGAATAGGCAAACTTCCCACTTCCTGTACCCAGGAACCTCCCAGCCATCATGTCAAGATCTAGTTTCAGTTTCCTAGCCCTCAACTACATCCCGATACTAGTTTAGAACACACACATAGAGCTTCTTCTGATTCAGATAGTACACAGAAGTACAATTGTTATATTTTCAGCCTAGTCGCAAAACTCCAGCAGCTCTGTGCAGATGTTAAACAACACTGAAGGCTAAATAGCGCTCTGTGGCATTCACAGCATTGCTGCCCCCAATCCCCAATTCTTAAAGATTATCCAGCATGACACCATGGCTGTGGGGTCAAAAGACACCAAAAAAAATCAAGCAGAATTAATAAAGAAACATTCCATCTCTGTTCCGCAAGAGGTAATCTATGATGGCAACCATGGCAGATTTTGTCCCCAAACCACGCCTGAATCCAGAATGAAAAGAGTCAAAATAACTGATGTCCTCCCAAAGTGTCTACAGCTGCACATGCACCCCCTTCTCAACCATCCTGCCCCCCAAAGTAATTGCGACTGGGTAGTAATTGGCAAAATTCTCTGGATCCAGGGAGGGCTTCTACAGGCGGGAAGTTACCATTGTCTCCTTTAGGGCTAGTATGTTAAGGAATGTAGACCTGGCCTTGGGAAGAGTAAGGAATGAGTGGACCATTCGTGGAGTGACTGCAGAAAAGGTTATTCTCTCCTGAGAAACTGGAATTCTCAGGAGTCTTCTCCAATATTAACATTTTAAAAGCATCAACCCTTTTTCTGTCTTGCTTCAAAGCCCAACTTTATATGTTAGGGACAAGTAGCGTCACTGGGAAACTATTGCCTGAAAAATTCTGTTCTTTGTAGGTGTAGAACATCATGGCACCTGAATATGTCTTCTAAGGCCTCCATTGCTATCCTACCAAGGGCTACTTTGCAGGGTATTTCTTGGTTCCTTTACCACTGACGGTCAGTACTAAAAAGCAGAAGTTATCCACCATTTCAAAGTCTTATTTGTCAATTCTAAGGCTGGTTGCTCTTCCTACTGTTATTTGTTCAGTCTTCCAAGTCCTTTTTTCACTGTGTTCCTTGACTTTCATTACTGGGGCTTGTGGATCATTTGCATCTTCAGCTTTTCAGAGTAGTGTCATCAGCATAGCACAAGCTACTGATGTTTCTTCCCCCAATTTTAAAACCATGCTTCTCTTCTTCCAAATCAGCTTCCCTCAATATATATTCTGCTTAATATATATTCTGTTGTTCCTTCCTGAGATCTTTGCCTTTCCTGGTAGCAAGTGGAGGGGATCTTTTAGCGGTGTGCAGGAACAGAGTTCAAATCTTCAAAATATGAGCTCCATTCCTGCACACCGCTGAGAGGTTTCCCCTCCCCTCTCTCAGCGGTGAGCAGGGACAGAGCTCAAATCCTGAAGATCTGAGCTTTGTTTCTCCAGCCCCACAAAGGATTTCCCCTCCGTCCGTGAAGGAGAGGACAAACCCTTTGGCAGGCTTTAGGAACATTTGAGAGCCAAAGGGCTGCCTCCCAGGAGGATTTCAGCTCCATGCGGAGCTAAAACCATCCGACAGGCAGCCCTTCCGCTCTCAAAGAGTTGCCTGCTGGCAGGATTTCAGCTCCACACGGAATGAAGCAGTCGCATGGGTGTCTCACTTAATGACCACTTCACTCAACAATCAAGATTCCAGTTCCAATTGTGCTTGTTAGGCGAGGACTACCTGTAAGGAATATCTTATAAGGTATCTTGGTTATTGACCCCTCAGCTGTACAGAATTTCAGTACGCTCCTTCCGTCTTGCTTGATCTTCTTTGAATCAGTTATTACCTATCCATTACCATCCTTTAGCATGCCAATACAAGACTGGAACCTCCTTCTGAGTTTGGAGATCTTTTTGAAGATTTGTTGTTCCATATCTGTTTCCATCTTTGATGCCTTTGCAGATGTTGCAATACTGCTTCTCTGAAATTCTCTTGCATTATAACTCTCTGAAATTCTTTTTTAAGTTATTTCCTGAGATCTTTGCCTTTCTTGGCTTTGGCTTCTCTTCGCTTCCTGGCAATTTCTCCCCTTTGTTCTGACACCCCGTTTGCTTTCTTCTGTTTCCTGGTCTTTGGCAGTCGCTTTTCACATTCATCCTCGACAACTCTTTCACCGCATTCCAGAGTTCCTCCGGTTCTCTAGCCACAAGGTTCAGGGCTTTAAAGCAATCCCTGATGGTCTAAAAATGGTGGGTTCAAGATCCTATCGTGGAAACTGGTGGCTTCGTTCTTCTGCTTTGGCTCGGCTTGGAACTTGCACCGGAGCAGCTTGTTCCACGGTCAGCCCTCGGCCATGACTTTGCCGTTACAACTTCTCCACCTCCAATGTAGTCAGCACGATCTCTGTGCGCTCAGCCTGGCGATAACCACGTGTGAAGGCATTGTCCTGGTTGTTTAAAGAATGCATCAGCAATGAAGACATTACTGGCTTGGCAGAAACTGATAAGTCATTCCCCTGCTTCATTCCTGTTTCTTGGGCCACACAGTCCAACCACGTTTTCCTCTTTTCTATTTCCAACTGTGCCATTTCGGTCTCCAATCAAAAGCAGCACATCTTACTTGTAGGTTCCGTTGATTTTAGACTGGACTTGACCATAAAACTCATCAACCTCTCCTCTTCTGCCTCAGTGGTTGGAGCATAAACTTGGATAGTCGTCATATTGTCGGGTTGTCCATGAAGTCTAACTGATGTTATTCGGTCACTGATTGCATCGTCTCTGCTCTATCCTTCCTATGAAAGCAGGGCTATTCTTTCCTAGCGTTTGTGTCCTGAGTAGTAACCAGAATGCTCTTCTAACTGAAAGTGTCGAATTCCGGTCCGTTTCAGTTCGCTGATGCGTGTCACTGTGTAGTCGATCCATTTCACCTTTCACTGTTTTGAGCTTTCCCGTGTTCATGCTTCTCACATTCATTCCATGTTCCCAGTGTAATTCTGCCTTTGCAGCTTCGGATTTTCTTTTCCTGCCTTGCAACATCTGTAACTAGACGTCCCGAAGGCTTTAATCTAGCCACGTCATAAACACCATTAATATCCAAAAGATCTCTGCTCTTCTGTTGAATGTCATCTGACCTGAGGGGCCCATCATCTAGCACCACAGCTTCAATTGTTTTATGAGGCAAGATAGCATGACTTGGGGGGTTGCAGTCTGTTACTTAATGCAAAATCATTACACAGTTTATTCATCTTAATTACAGATTTATATTCTGAAAAGATTCATATATTCAAACATGGATCACATGGTAATTGCAGTAAGATATACACAGACTCGATCAAGTTTATTGCCAGGAGAGGCATGTTCAGAAGTCTTCCTAATGTTCTCCATTTCCAGTGTTCTGAAGTGGGGACAAATGTTTCATGGGGCAGCATGGGGCAATCTAGTCCTTCCCTCAAATGGCAGTTATCTGGCTCCAAGGAAGGCCAGGGCTACTTACAACCACATTAAGTCACTTGCCCAACCACCCGCTCTAGCCACTATTTTAAACCTTCCTCATCACCATCCTTATCTGCTTCCCAGCCTTTCTAAATCATTTTGCACTAATTGTATCATACGAGCACTCTAAAGTGCAGAGTCATATCTAAAAGGCAGCTTAATATGCAAAGTGGTTAAATTCAGCCAAGCATTTAAAAAGACTGAAGAAGCCCCCCACCCCTTTTTCATCTCCCCAGTCCTATGGGGTGCCTTCCTCCAGAGAGACGAGGCACTGGAGGCAGGTCAGGTCAGGTCAGGTCAGGTCAGAGGGATGATAAGTGGGCAAAAGCAGGCTAGCTTCCTCTGACCGTCATTCAGTTGCTAGGCTCACACAACACACTGAACCGGCTCAGTTGAAACCATTGGTTGCATTCATGAAACATGCTACACCTGTTTTGTTTTAACTGGGAGAGTTTTCTGCAGCTTTTTGAGCAGTCCTGCTGGCTTCTCTTTGGGGCTCCCTCTGACACATGTGGAAGTCCAGCCATGAAGAAGAGTGCGGAGGCCAAGGATGGGGGTGGGGGGCAGGTAGGCAACTGCAAAAGGAACTGGAGGTAAAAGGGAAACATGGCCAGAAGGGCTACTGACTGTCACCACAAACCAAGTCTTGGAGTCCTCTTTGGACTGGGATTAGAGCCTCCCACAGTGTCACCTTTGTAGAAGGGGTGTGTGTGTGAGAGGTGTGTGTGTGTGTGATGGAATGTATCTACAAGGGGGGAGGTGGTATGATGGAATGCAGTAGAGAACCAGGTTCTCAGGAAGGAGGGAGTGCATTCCAGGCGGAAAGTGGGGGGGCCAAGAGGCAACACAGTCCAGAGCAGGAGCGTGGGAAGCATAAGAGGTTCAGGACAGCCCCTCCCTAGAATCTCCCAGGGTATATCCACTAGCCGCAGTAGTACAGATTTAGTCTGCCAAGATTCGGTCTATATGGTGTAAGCAATAAAGAACTGAACTTGGTTGTATTGTTTCCCTCTTGTTCTTGTTCCTGACAGGTGGTTTATGAAAGTGTCAGCTGCCCACAGTCTGCTAGTCCTTAAGAAACCACCCACCTTGTCTGTGACCCTTGAGGGCCAAAATATTGCTTTTAGAAGTACCTCCCCTGATCAGAAGATGTTGCCCCCCATCCTAGGGAGCCATTGTGGGCTGGATACAGTGGTGTGCTGGAGACGGCTTATATCAGCTTGCGGCAGCCAATTGTTAAATTTTCAGGAATTTTGCAAGCTGGTTGAGAACCTAGCCTGCCAATTAGCTTGCGGCATGGCACGGGCAATGGAGTCGGCAAGGCCACTGTTAGACATTTATCAGCCCACGGCTGGCTGGCTGGCTGCCTGCTGAAGAGCTGAAAGGGGGCCTGCGGTGGGAGGCCTCCACCCAGTCCCATGTCCTGGCTTCCTCAGCAGAGGGGCAATTTCTGCCTGCTGCTCTCCTGTCCAGCCTGGGCATCAAGGACCCAACTTAGAAAAGTTTGTTTGCCTGATCCTGTGTCAGGAGGAGATCTGCAACCAAGGGAATGAAGGAGGATGGCCAACTCCACAGCTGGCTCCCCATTCCGCCTTTTCTTTTGGCCTCCCTCCAGTATGGGTGCACTCTTTGTATTCTGTCTTTCTGGTTCTTTAGCAGGGCCGTAGTGGGGCCAGTCCTGTACTGGAGAGGCTATGGGGTACACGGAGTACCTGGCACCCCTCAGCTTGAAGAGGTCTTCTGGTTGGTCTTCCACAGAGCTCCCTGGCCAGGTGGTCAGGGTGGGGCAAGAGCTGCATATCTGCCTGGCCGGAAGTGCGTGTAAAGGAAGGTAAACCTGACCTTGGTTATGTGGAAGGAACAAACAAGCTGTGAAGATGCAGAGTTAGTCCCGAGAAATTGGAAAACCTGAGAAAGAAACTCAAAATCGCCCCATCTGGATTTTGTTTGGTATTAGATGCGGCAGAGGGCATCTCTGAAAGGCTTTCAAGGTTCTGTTACAATACCCTACATCAATGAAGTAGCGAGCCCGGGATCTCTGTTGTGCCTGTTTCCTGACCTGTCCTAGCTTGAAGGGCTGACAGTCCATTAAAAGTCCTGCACATGCATACAAGCCCACACAAGAACCCCGGGTGAAAAGCTTTACTCTAGCAGCCCAGATCAGAGCCTTGATGCCCAGGCTGGACAGGAGGGCAGCAGACAGAAATTGTCCCTCTTCTTTCACCTGATCCAGCAATCACTTTGGCCCTCTGGAGAAATGCCACCCTCAAGGCAGTACCTCAGACCCTCAGAGAGATTCTGCCGGGGAAATACAAACTAATCTGCTTATCCCAAGGCCTTTCTTCACCAGGAAATGCCTGCAGCCAGAGCCCACCTTTTAATGCCAATCGACATCTTTTTCCCAATGCAACTAAGTGAGAGTGTGTGGCTCAGAAAATTTCTTCGGGGGAAAACAGAAAAAAGTTTCTCCCTCCCACGCAATCCCAGGCATTCCCAGATTGCCAGCATTATTTGCACAGGGAAGAAAAACGAATTGCAAACAGCCCCAAGCAATTCCCAGGGGTTATTTAAGTACCCATTTCTTGCCCTCTCTGCACTGGCATGACTGGCAGTATTATTTTGCAGCAATAATACCTGGGTGCCATTTAGGTGGCAGGTCCAGGCCTTCTGGGATGGTAACCCTGATGCAGCAAGAGGGCATGAAGTAGGGGAAGGCTTCTCAACCACTTCATTAAACCCGAGATTTGGCAGAAAAGGTCTTGGAGCTCGGGCAGCTGTGCGTGTGTCTCTGCCTTTAGCCACACCTGAAACAATGTGGAGTTTATTTATCACAGTCACCAACTTATCCACATTCTCCAAGTGATGTATCCATGTCTTACCTTTATTTTGCTAAATGTGTGGTGTTCAGTTTCATGTCTTCCTCTTTAATATATTTTAAATAAAACAATTAATTAAAAGCAAAATGTAAGAAAATGAGCATTTCAGAGATGACGCTGTGTTGCCCAGCAAAGCACATGGCCGTTTGTTCTATTCCAAAAGAGCATTAATCACCCTGGCAGGGCTCCCGTATTAATCTTGGCAGAACAAGGGAAAATAATACACATTAGGGATAGTAATTAAATGTCTCCCTGGGAAGGAAGAACACACAAAATGGTTTAGCATCACTCAGAGAAGGAGTGGAGCTATTTTCCTTTACTCAGATGTTAATACAGCTTTCATAAAGATCACAAAACTGATTTTCTTATAGCCCATTTCTCTTCCTTGGAGGACAGGCAGTGGTGACAATGGATTTTTAATTAAGGTTGCAACAAATATTTACTTACTCATGTAAGCATCTTTACCCTGGCTAAAAAATTAATCCCAATTAATCATGGTATGGTCCACGCATGCAGGGTCTGTGTGTCTGCAGCATGGAAACAGGCTGAGAGACCGAGGATTTAGGGCACCCGTATCCACCTCCAGTATTGCTAAGTAAATAAGCAGCAAATACATCATGGTCTGAGGCACCCACAGAATCCTGCCTTTCTTCCTCTGGGCTTCAGCAAGAGGCTCTTGCAAGGACCTGAACTGAATTCACCAATTCTCATTAACTTCTTTCAGCTTCTCTGCCGGGCGATTGCTTGAGCAAATCTTGGCACAACTGTTTGCTATCTTCCATCACCCATTCCTTGCCTCTTGCTCACCACACATTTGACACAGACAGTTGCACTCAAGCTAGTTTTTACCCCCCTGGGCAGTGTCCTAGACTTTCAGTGGCAAGTGTGAAATCTTGAACTTCCTACCAAAACTAATCTACATTTTGCATTGTGCAGCTGGGTTCAGATTTGGGATCTGGGAGGACTTCTTGCGAGTCGGGGCCTTTGCTGAGAAGTGGAAACAAAAGTTTAAGAAGGAGACAGGATGCCTCTTGCTTACCTCAGGAGCAATGTAGTCGGGCGTGCCACAGAAAGTCTTGGTGGTGACTCCATCCCAGATATTCTCTTTGCACATGCCAAAATCAGCAATTTTGATGTGGCCCTCAGAGTCCAGCATCACATTGTCAAGTTTCAGGTCCCTGTAGCATTTGAGAGACTGGCGTTAGGCAAGGGAAGAGCAAAGACATCCCTGAGGTCAGTCCTTAGAGCTGAAACGGGAAGCCGAAGGGCATTCAGAAATGTATTCCGTTGAGTGATATTTTGCTGGAAGCTGAATAAACAGCGACATCTGGAAAGGGGTCTCTGACACTTTTGCTTGGTGAACAGATTTAGTGTTAACAGGTTTAGTTGGGTTTCAATCAGGGGCATCCACAAAAGGGGGTGAAAAAGTCAAGATGGCAGTTGCGACTATATGGCCAAAGCCATCTCCTAAGACAGTGTTTCTCAACCTCAGCAACTTTAAGATGTGTGGACTTCAACTCCCAGAATTCCCCAGCCAGGCTGGGAGTTGAAGGCCACAAGTCTCCAAATTGTTGAGGTTGAGAAACACTGTCCAAAGAGAAGGGCTTTGAGGGTGCGGTTGCAACCATCATCTTGACCTTTTTGACCTCCTTCTGGGACCAGTTGCTTTCCTTAAAGTGTGGTGG